TTTACATTTTGAGAAGATAGAAAGAGAAAGGAAAAGGAGCGACGGTAGGCATACACAACAATCTCTCTCTATATTAAGCTCCAACTATGATACATCTTAGGACTTAATCAGTAGGACATCTCTTTCTCGCGGTAAACAATTATCTAGAGAAAAAAATAATATGGGGAAGTGGTGTTACATTTTATCTGGTGCTAGCGGTGGAAACCCTCATAGATGTTAGAGCAAGATATGTCGACAGCATAGAGATACGTGCAGAATGGAGTCTGAGTCAAATGTAATACCTTTTGAAGACCTTTTTTAAGACCCTTTCCATACATTTTAAGACCTCATCGCCACTTGGAGTTTTAACCGGTTACCTTGGCGACACACTTTACCTCACATTTACTATATACAGTATTGGTTGTCCTTCCTCCTTATCTTCCAACCATTTGGACGCAGACTTGCATTTCCCCATAACGATGTTGCTTAACAACCAGCGTAAACGGACCTTCGCGCTATCAAGCAGTGAGCGTGAGATGTCCTGTTCAGATGAGCCTCCCCTCAGAGAACATAATCACAGCCGCGCCCCCCTCCCAATTATTATTATTATTGTTGTTGCTATAATGCAGGGGTATTCAATTGCATTTGAAAGAGGTCCAGTAAGAGAAAATGTCAAAAAATGCTCTGTTTTCGCTACCTTTCTCTTTTTTGATTGGCTGAGCGTCACCTCCTTAAAACATTAAACAATAGCTTTTTTAAACCTCTTTATCTTTGTTTTAAACATGTTGAGGTGAAGGATGGCAGCTTCCTCATACGTTGCACTCGGAGAGAAATAGTTGAGACGGAGATGTCTTTAGCAGCAGGGAGGAGTAACGTTTCACCAATGTTGTGAGGTTTACCTGCCTTAGCTATCCGTAGCGCCTCTCGGTATGATGCTTCGGTTGCCTTTGTATTCACAGTGCTAAATGTGTCAATGACATTTTTCTGTGACTGCAATTCCTTGAGCTTCCGTTTAAAAAACTCCTGTGGCTTGGTCACCAAACACGGGTGTTTCGCCTCAATATGACGCCGGGGTTTACATGGTCTCATACTGTCATTAGCTAGCACCACGTTGCAGATAACACACTGTGGCAGTGGAGTGTCATCAGGACCGGTCCATGAAAATCCTAGCTTCAAATAATCATTGTCATACTTCCTCCGTTTTCTGACAGACGCTGTCTCCTCTCTCACTTTAGGTAACTTCACTACAAATCTATCCTTATTTTGCAGCTCGCATACATTTAGCTGAAGTTAACTAGCTAGATTCCGCCGACTGCGGGGCACACGGTAGAGAGAAAAGGAGGAGGAGGCAAACACAACAACTCTCTCTACCCGCCAAGTTGAAGTTTGTCTTGCTGTGGTTCACGGAAGCTAGGTTCAGGGTACCGACTTACCTTTGCTTTCGTAAATACTACTCCACGCAAAGAAAGATGACTGTATGGAGTCTCGTCCAAAGGGTTTCACAACTCCGGCGGGGGGACCCCCCGCGGGTCTCTCGAAGTTCCCTCCCGCGTCGGCGGTCTTTTTTTATTTCTCCTTTGT